GCTCTTGTTTTTGCACTGCGTGTCCTTGCCGTTATGTTGCTTTCTTTTTCCACTTTCTTCCGGTTTACACATACTTCCATACACACATATATATAGAGACATACGTCTATAAGTGGCGTTTAATTTATCAATTTGTCGTTTGCCAAAGGAATTCATTATCTCTTTTTTTTTGGTCGCTTCCGGTTTCCCCTCTTTGATGCGGTTTGTTTACTATTGTCTGGGCTTAATCTTTTGTTTATTTACCATCAACGTCATCGTTCGTGCCGTCTGATATTGTCGCTTGGTCGTTGCATCGGAAGTTCAATCGGTAGCAATGGACATTTTTCTTTTTACTTTCTTTTTCCCCCTTTCGGTGGTACATCTTTTTAGTGTTTCGGTAATTGGAGTCAAATTGTTTTTTGCCATATATGGACTCTTGATTAGGCCACGACTTCGGAGAGGTTAAAGGAACCCCGATCGAAGGCGATATCAAATCAGATAGAGTGTCTTGACTTATATCTTCTATCTTCCATCTAAAGATATTGTTGTTTGAGCTTATAACTTTTGTATTTTTATGTCTCATATGAGCTCGAAATATCGGAGAAATCTAAGAAACTTATCTATGAAATCTAAGATACTCATCTTATTTCCCCAATTTAGAAATTAATTCTTCAAATTTTAATTATAAAGGCATTACCAATCCGTCCTCCAGAACGTCACAGATTGAAGTAGAACATTAAACGACACCCCAATTAAACTCCTTTTAATCCCTGCCATAAACGCAGCAGTCATTCAAATCCAACAAGTAATTAAAACGCAAGTCTCGAGGCTAGCCAAAATAAGTAATTGCCACCGTGTTCGACAACTCATCAGCAAACAGGAAAATTGTCCGAGAATAGTCGCAAAAAATGACAAAAATGGGTGGGATACCCCAGCAAGGAAAACTCCAAACGAATTGACAAATTAAAAGCAAGTGAAAATTTTCCGAAAAACCCTGAATAAAGAACAAGAGAGCTTTGAAAAGAAAACAAGCTGGGAGTCCAGTGGACAATTAAGCAAAAGGGGGGTTTGACAATTAGAAGGAAAAGGGGTCGATTGTTGGTGGAAGAAAAAATGGGCAGAGGCTAAAGAATCGACAAGTTTTGGGCGCGCAATTATGATTATGGGTGCGTTTGCCCATCCTTTCGGCCAAATCCTACTTTAATTGTTTTTTTCTTTGCCCTCCTCTCTTATTTTTCCTTGTTTTGCCAGGGGATGCTGGTGCCAGCCCAGTTGCCTGGACGGAAATTCATTAGAGCAACCCTAGAGTAGCGGTGCAGGGGTAACTGGTCCCTGGCCATGTCAAAGCGAAAGCGACTCCAAGACGTTGTCTTGGCTTTTTTCCTCAGAGAAAATTGCAATTTTTCCAGGACCAAAACCAGGACCAGACATCGATGGGGTTGCTACGATTGTCCCTGCCCGGCAGACAACCTCCCTCCACTTCGCTGGGCAGAGCAAAAAAGGGCTTCGCATCCTGCTTACGGTGTATATATAAAAAAAAAAGGGAAGAGTATAAGGACCGCTAGACGACGGGCAGGCGAGCAAACATAAAAATGCGTTTTTGCCTTCAGAAGTCCCTTTTCGAAAGGCAGATAGGTTGGGGGATTTGGCAGGATGGCGACTTGGACGGGCACCTAAACAGAAAGTAATCAACCCACACAGACACACACACATAGAAAAGCTGTAGAGATATACCCACACAGATACACCGCACACACAGATCAGAAAAGGACGAGAAACGCGTCTCCACCTTCACTCATTTGCACAAAACACACCCACAACTTTGGTCCGAGCTGGAGAAACTTTTTTTCGCTTTCGCTGCTCCAACATTTCTGTTTCCTCCGCGCCGTGGGGGCGGAGGAAGAAGGCGTGGCATTGTTCTTGTGCCGCCATGAAAATTAATGAAGAAGTGCCCGACCCATGTTCCAAAGGCACTAAAACTCCGTTCTCCGCCCATCGACCAACTGACAGACAGTCGCTCCGGTCCCCAGTTTTTGAGGTTGGGGTCTTGGGACCTGGGGTTAGTGCTGGGTGTGTGGCCGTTGGGTCTGCAGAAACGACTCCCTCTTGGGGGTGGGCGCGTGCCCATTGCTGCTGGCTTCCAGTTTTTTTCACTGGGTCCCCTAACACTAAAGTGGGATTTACATAAATTCAGAACTTCGGTTCGGGTCTTAATTGTTTATGGCGCTATACAATTTATATAAAATCGAAGTGGCCTAAAATTTGTGTTACGTAATGTTCAACTTTCAACACAACTTATATTTCGTTTTCGGGTAATTTTGATGAATGGTCTAGTAATGATTAGGTAAAGTCTTTGGTAAAAAAAAACTCTAAAAAATAATGAAAATGTTGAGATGTAAAGAGCTTTCATATGAAACTAAGATATGATTTAAACTCGATTTAAACTGTTTAGAAAATATCGTTGGGTTTAGAATTCAATAATCTTCAAAGAACTTGAAAAATTTACAAAGCTACTCGAATCAAACTGAATTTCTTCACCAACAGACGAAACCCGGTTAAAAAATGGTCCCAGACCCAATGACACTATCTGAAACGAAAACGGGTAAAAAATCAGCCCACAAAAGCCGGAGAAAAAGCGATTTGGACAAACTCATGGAGCATTGGTCAAGCCAAACCCTTTGGGTGGTAAAGGATTTGGGGATGGCGAGGCGATGGTGACGAGTGTGAGTGACCCAAACTGAGTCACCCAAGTGGTGGGGAGTTAAAGGACAAAACACACACCCTACGCTCATATACGGTCAAGTGGGTGTTGACCTGTCCACATTTAGAGGGGCATGGACTTGTATGGTGTTGCCTTTTTTTTGTGTTGATCGAGGGGAGAGGGTGAAGTCGCCTGACTGGGGCAACCGTCGGTAGATGGCGCCAGGCGGGACTCCGAACAGGAGCCGAGGTAGCAACAGGACATGGACGAGGACGACGCCTTTGCTTTTAGCTTGATTGCCAAGCCTAGTTAACTGTAAAGTTTTATAACTTTGGCCAGCCACCCAATCGCCGCCCCCTCACAAACACAGACACCTCCGCCTCGCTTGGCCTCACCTGTAAAGCGTTAAAATCGGTTGGTTTATAGCACGCGCCAACGCAGCCCTCCCACTCTCACCCTCTAAGCCATGTTTGTCCTGGCTCCAGCCCCCCAACTCCTACTTTATCCCTGACAACGCCGACGTTCGTTCGACCCTTTTAAAAAGTCGTCAATACTTGCCTTTCCTTTCCCCATTTGCCCGTGGAAAAGGACGAAAAGGGTTTGAGGATACGTGCAACGGCCTCTGAGCTCTGCGCAAGGACCCCGACAAGGATATGGAGCAGCCAAGGGGGTACGAACCTGGGACCAGAACAAGGACCAGAGGACCGGGCGTCTATCAAATTCCAATTTTGGTCCCTTTTTTTCCTCCGCTCTGTTGGCATTCAAGGTTTATGGCGTCTTTTTAGCGTAAATCCTGCATGGCCACTGGCTGGAGTCCGTTCCTGATGGTGCACCCTTCAGCGACCGTTACTGGACCGAGCCCTCCCCCTCTACAACTCAAACTAATGCCATCCTATCCGTGGGGCTACATCTTCAATTTCCTATCTCAGCTCCCCATCAAGAGGGTTACTTTCACCGAATCGTAGATACACTTTTTTTTTTTCTATGTCATAATAACGTGACTGTCAGTGTGTTATTTTGCAAGCATTTGAGATAAATCTATATTTCAAAAGTCAATTCACGGAATACTAATTAGTTCAATTTCTAATCAGCACGGCAATTTGGAATAGGTACCGCTATCAAAAGCTTCAGATTGTAGGTTGTATTCAATGAAAAAATACGCAGCTTCCTTAGTACATTGACATTGTCGATGATGAGCAATTTGCATACTCGGCTGTAGTGTTATGAATTCCAAGGAATTGAAAACCTCTACAACGTTAGATCTCAAGCCGACCACATTTTATAAAATATATAAACTCGCAATAAGACAATTTTGAATTCCTATTTGCTGAGTATGAAGCTAAACTTGAATGATGAGTACCTTAAGGTCGAAAGCGTGCTGACTTGTTTTTCATATGCTAGTATGCAATGTGTACTGCAAAAAACCGGTCTTCGCTATAGACGAATGGTAGACGTACATATATGCAGGCTGAAAAAACTTGCCTTTTCTATAAGCTTACATCATTTTAAGTCGATTTTAAGATATAAATTAATCATATATATATAATAATATAATATATAAATGTTTTTTCATATATTTTTTATGACAAACAATTCCCATTTTACTGGTAAAAACCCCATTCAGCTAAAGAACCTCTCCAGAAAACGAACGCTTCAGAAATCGTGACTATTTATGAACAAAGCTATATATATAAATAGATTTTTACACGAGATTAACATTGATCGGCAATGGTTTGCTATGCTCGTGAAATCAGGTTTAGTTTCAGTCAGTCAATCGAAGCGGTTGTAAGTGTCCGGGAAATAAAGAATGCTGTACTCTAATCTGCTGATAGTCTGTTCCAGCTTGGTGCTCCTCCATCTGGAGGTAGGTCATTGAATTTCCTATTTTCACCTTCACTAATAAATATTTTATTATCTAGATGGCAAAAGCTAGATCTGTTGAGAATTTTTATGAAACATCAGAAGGAAGTCATAGGGTCAGTGCGTTCAATTTTCGCTTTACTTACCCGGTTGAGTTCGATAATCCTTACTTTAACTATTTTTTTTACAATTCTAACATCTTTAAGAAAAATGGGTCGAACCGGCAAGACTCCGATTCATCAAGTTGTGATTGTGTATTACACAATCCGAAACACATTCCCTCGCGAGGAGATCCCAGTTTATATGAACGCAATCCAGACGTTTTCCGACCTCAAGATGTTCCCAATAGAAATGAACGCAATCCAGAGGATCTCCGACCTCAAGATGTTCCCAATAATAATGAACACAATTCAAATAGACCCGACATAAAAGGTGGAAGATTACCAGTCACGACCACGACTCAACGAAATTTGGTGAATGTACCGCCGAAAGTGGTACCCTCAAATCAAGAAGATACGGGACCCATATGGTACCCAGTGGCAGATTCAACTTCTACCGAACGTACTTCGGTTCCACTGCCCACTCTGGGCGCCTAAAGGCAATGGAACTGACAGCGTCATTGAAGATTATTTGGCAAAGGTGGACGTCACGGTGGCGGATATCAAGGAGGAGGATGGAGAACTGGTCATGACGATCGTGGACAAACAAGGGCGTGTTCTTTCAGCCCGCTTTGCACTGAGCGATCAAAACGGTCAACCGACGAATCCCAATTAGAATAGCCCCAACATAATATTATTATTAGATCTATGACTAATGACTTATTAACTGAATAAATTTCCCATGAGAGGTAAAAACCTTATACGCGTTTACTTGCAAATGCAATATATATATATGATTCACAGAAAAATTTTTGTTCCGTGATTTATAAAAGCTTTAAACACTCAGTCAGCTTTTAAGCCCAGGAAACGGGAACATTTTGAACTTCTGAAATATACTAGATTTATACATATATTTACACTCTTTGATTAGGGCGATTGTGCGAAACCTAATGATAACCTTTGCGATTCCATTCAGTATATGATCGGCAAGCATAGCCGATTAGTATTATCAATTTCAGTTAGATTCAGACATTCGAGGTGTTAAAAAGTGTCGCGGAAGAACTGAGGATGAAGTGCGTTAATATTGTGGCAATCTTTGCCGGCTTGCTACTCCTAAATCTGGAGGTAGGTCATGGAAGTCTTTGGAAATACAAAAATGACCTAATTGTTTCTATATAGATGACAGCATCAACTTCGACTGGGGATCAACCAAGTCAGGCTCTGATAGATACGGCCAAGATGTTTGGATTGGATGAAGTTGGCCTGCGGGAATTGTGGCGCACCAAGGATCCGCTGGTTGTCAGAAATCAAAATAGTGCCGGTCAACTGACTACAGTCACCTATAGTCTGAGTCCCGATGGTAAATCGATTTCAAGGAGCAGGGTCATTGAGGGATCGTCGCCTGCAAGGCTAGAGGAAGGAGCTACCATAGCTAAGCCCCAAGAGGACTGGGAGTATGTACCTAATCCTAGTCGTCGTCAATTTCGTCCGATTGGAGAGCCTAATGTCGGTGAAGGTAGTTTTGATCCCAGCTTATTTGGATTCCCTGCTCCTCGGGGTTCATTGTTTCCCAACTGGAGGCTGCCAGATGGGGTGACGCCGCGAGTCACTACCAAGACGGAAGTAGATAACCTAGGACGAAGGATAACCACCACAACCAAGAGTTTTAGCGGCGTGGTGTTGCCAGGAAGTAATGTGTTACAGCAGACATTCCCTGATATTGCGAAGGAACCTGGTCCAATTAACCCGATCTTCGGTCAGATCCCATCCATAGGAAACTATCCCACATTTTATTCAGCACCCTCTGATTTCAACTCTGGATTTGTGCCCCGCTCAAGTCAGCAGGATCCTACCTTTGTGCCGGTGATAGATGCCACCACCACTCAGCGAACTGTAGTTCCCCTACCCACTCAAGCACCTCGAAATGTCGGTGGAGGTGAGAACGACATAGATGATTTCCTGGCTAAGGTGGATCTAACTGCCGAGGACATTGAGAAGAGTAACGGTGAAGTAGTCAAAACAATTGTGGATAAAAATGGGAGAGTTCTTACTGCCAGGTTTGTCCTGAGCTCAGTCAAAGGCGACAAGAACGATCTTAAGCAGCAAAGTCCCACGAAATAAATATCTGAATTTACACCAATTTTAAAGTAACAAATGCAATATTTTGTAAACATTTTTAAAAACAATAACGCAATGGAATAAATGAGCTTATCAGCAGGGGCTAAACCCAGGCAATATAATTAGAGGTCTAAGTCAATCTTGCGATGGAATATTACTTATATATTGGTAAACAATTGATAAGGGTGTTTATGTGCAAAATATATTTCTCATTTCGACTGCAATGATTTTCCCTATGAGCCATGGAAAATTAAAATTTTGCTGACTTACCTGCGTTCTCACATCTGTAAGTATATAAGCAACTACAAAGCAATCTAAATTATTCAAAAACTACTCGCATATGTATACGTTTCGGGGAAATTAAATATTCTTTATTTTCAGATCGTTGGCCAAATTAATTAAAAAAGCATTAATAGTTTTGTATGGCTAATTTATTACAAACTTTTTTTTTTTTTTCGCTAGCAACTGAGCTGTAAAAAATTAAAAGAAATGAAAAATATAATTGGGATAATAAAAAATCAACGAAATAATATTAAAATAATAACATTAGTGGACTAAGCATGGTTAACAACATAATTTTAGTAAAGGAAAAAATAATTGCAGCCAAAAATAATTCAAGCATTAAGAGATCAAAATTATACAACAAAAAAAGAAACATAAAGGGGAGGCGCAGAACGAGAAATTCAATTGGAATTTCACGGCAAAATGATTAAAATACATAGAAAAAACTATTGCATAATTTTGTGCGCAGCTCATTGCAAAACGCATTTGGTGGCCGAAAGCATTTTGTGGCTATGGATGATTTGGTTGCAGTTGTTTGTAGTCGTGTGGTGGCAGTTGTTCGGCCGGCAAAAGTGTTTTTCTGCCATTGTCTTTCTCGCTCGTTAGCATTGCATTAGTTGGGTTACATATATAAGCCAAGCATGTCAGAGAAAAGAGAAACTAGATTAGTAAAAAATGGTTGTTTGATCAAAAGTATGGATGTCGTAATAAAAGCATTTTTTCTTAAGTCTAAATACGAGTAGCAAAATGTTTGCTTGCGGTTTTCGGTGGCGGCAGTAACTTTAACTAATTAAAAAGCATTGCAGCCCTTTAGGCGTTGCGTTAAAAATTCAACTACGCATAAAATATATTACAAAAAGCACAAATATTTGAACAACATCGGTGCTTTGTTTGCTTCGGTTAGTGTATAAAATATGTACCAATAAAAATTTAATAATTTTTTTAAACTTTTTCACTGAGATATTATAGTAAAGGTTTAAAATCGCCAAAGGCTTTCATATTTAATATATTAAAATATGGTTGTGGAATAAAAAATACTGATTCGTTGTCAAGCCTTAAAAACAGCAATGAAATAAATTGCAAAGTAACTCCGTAAATATTGAACTTATTAATTGATATATAATTAAACTTGTATTGCTCAATTGAGATCGCAATGATTCATTTGCTGTATAGGCAAATAATCAAAGACGGAAACTACCTTTAGTTCTTAAACTTCTCCTCTTCATTTACGTCTATAGCGAGTACTTGAAGTCTTTACTCACCAGGTTATCGAATCGCAGGGCATCCTCATCGCTGAGACCCATACTACGCGTCAATTGTAAGTATGTCGAGGTAATAGGCTTTAGTCGCTCTAAATCCAATGGCGGCAGCGGCAAGGATAACTCCACGGGCGGCACGCCCCGCAGTTGCGGAATTCGAAGTTCCGGCAGAGGTTTTGGTGGACTGGACAGTTCCAGCTTGAGCGGAACCGGTGTTGATGTTGAAGCTGGATGTCCGGTCTTTAGGCTGGAAAATATAGATTTTGTTAGATTAATCGGTGTGTGAGTATTATCCTTGGGGGCGGAAGGTCTGGCTGTTGAAGCAACCGGAGGAGAACGTGCCCTTAACGAACTGTCCGGAGAGGTCTTGATCAGCGGTGGATTGGGTGGCGGAGATGAGGCTGCCTTGGGAGGGGCTAGCATCTTGCCAGGAGCTGAAGTTGTTGAGGTAGGGGTCGTAGGGGTTGCTGTGGAAGCAGTTGAGATGGTGGTTGGATAGCTGAGGCTCTGCAACAGGCTGCTGCCGTAAATGGGCGGCGCTAAAACCGGTTCGCCGGCATAGAAGCGCCTCATGAAGTCATAGTATCTCAGGAGATTATCCCGCGACTTCAGCAGCTGTACATCAAAGCATTGACTACTGGGCTGGGTCTGGGTCTGGGCTTGAGATTGTGATTGGCTTTGAGGATTGGTATTCGAGTCTGCTGGGGACTGATCTTGTGGACTTGATGGACGTTGCAACTGGGTCTTAACGCGAATTTTGGGCACGCTAACCGGCGTCGTTTCAACAGCCGCCTGTACCGCCTGCGGTGGCTTGGGGCTTTGGCTTTGGGGCGGTCCTGTCCCCAGGACATCAAGCTGAGTGGCACTGGAGCTGCTGGCAATTCCAGAACCAGCCACAGCTAGGCCCACGCCCATGCCAGTGCCGACCACCGGCAGTGAGGCCTTGAGGTCGGCGCTCGAGTGCCGACGGCGCTTGGCCGTGGGTCCTGCCTCTAAAGAACTCTCGGTGTGCGATGAGTAATTCAGATAGTTCTCCACTTCCGAGGAACTCTCGTTCCCAGCCAAGTCGGAGTCTTTTCCTCCCGCCGATGGTGAGGAGGGTCGAAGGTTCTTTTTGCACTCGGGACAAATGGTCAGGAAGCGGGTGACTGCCTCGCGGGGCAGGAACGCATAGGTTTCAGTGATCTGCAATGGTAATAATAAATTAAAGTTATAGTAAAGAAAAAAGTGCATAAAATACTTCATATATATAAGCGTTTCTCGAAAAAGATTTCAAAAATATAATTAATATAACAAATGCGCTTCATTATCCGTTAAGATGATCAAGTTGTGAATGATATAAAATATTCTACAGGCTATTCAAGACGAACTTAGATGTATATTAACCAACTTAACCATCTTTTGTACACTACACTCACAATGCGGTAGGTGCGCTTCTGACCCGCGTGCATGCCACTACGGCCTCCTAGTTCCATGTGAACATTGTAGATGATGTCAAAGAACTCTTCCACACAGGCCACCTTGCGGTAAGTCCGGCGACCGAATCCCTTGCTGGTGGATGCGGCAAAGAGATCGACATCGCCGGGATTATCCGATAGTATGGCTGAGCTAGGAAGAGGTTTTAGGCGGCGCCGACTACCAGGAGCCTCTTCAAAACCATCAGGTCGATTTGTGGTGAAACCTGACAAAGAAACTCAATGAATATCAGTGACTCCTTGTAGATTCCAGCTGCCTCACTCACCCTTTGTCTTGACCCAGAAGCGAAACTTGGAGCTATCAGGACGACTGTGCTCCTTGCCCTCCAGTGCTTTAAGAATTCGCGCCTTCTTGCGCAGTGTTATCGTCTTGGTCTTGGCTTGATCTCCATATGTGCTGAGTGCCCAGGGCTGGAACAGCTCGTAGATGATCTCACGCTCACCTGTCGGCTGCTCCAGCTCGTCCACATCCGCATCGTAAGCCAAATCAGTCTCTGCCTTCCCCACAGTCACCGGCGAACTCTCCTCGCGCTCATCAATGGCATAGAGCTTTCTTTTGCTGCTCCAACCCTCTGCCGAGGCAATCATCGCAGAGGACTGTGGATGTGGTGGTAACTCAGACTGATCTGTACTACGCTTGCGACTTCCATTGGAGTGCTCCATGATGCGAATGTTTCGCGGGTTACCACAATCACACTTTTTTTAATTGACTAAAAAACTTGTTAAATCAAAGCCAAGTCCAAGCGAAAATCGATACCATTGGGTATTTAAGGTTATAATTTTGTGTCAAATTAGAATTTCAGCTGTATTCTATTCTTCGTTTGGTGGGATTTCTCCGTAAGTCCTGCAAAAGTTAATTTTTTGCTTAAATTTAGATTTCTTTTTGCCAAATGAATTTTTTCTTTTCACTATTCATAAGTCACAAACAAACTAAACGAGATCTGAATATTTATTTTTGTTAAAAACCTACTTTTTGATGTCCAATGTGTAATAACTTGATAACGAAATCTCAAACACAATTTTTTAAACAAATATTCAACGTAAAGTTAACAAAAACAATGTTTTTTAACAATATCAAAAATTAACAGAAATCCCACAAAAACGAAAAACAAGGGCTCAGATCTTTTCGGCTCAACAAATAACCAAAAGCCAAAAAAGAAATGAACAACAGCGAACGCGACGCGACCGAATGAAAGTTCAAACACAACTGACTGGCCAACTGATCAACGTCCCGCCGAGATCATCTCGAGGAGATGCGGATGCTTGAAGACGGTCTTTGAGTTCAGTCCAAGACAGGCTGGTCCAGATACAAACCGGTTGATCGGGCATCTTTGAACTTTGAACTGCAGCCCCGAATGTCAGACAACCAGTGAACACATCCCTCGGAGCAAGCTCATCTCGTAGATAACCATAGAGCGCCTACCTCAATAAGTTGCGCAATTGCTAGCCAGCAAATCCTGGTACAACTTCTTGTTGCCGAGCTAAACCAACCCGAAAATGATGTCAAACTCACCCTTAAATTGAGCCTAGGGTGTTTTGCATGTTTGGAAACATACTTTTAGGCAGTTGGAGAACGCTAGAGAAACAGAAAAAGCAGTGCCGGCATACCCACCCAGCATTCAACCATCGAACCACCCACCAACTTCCAAACATCCGCCTGTTGCGTTTCTTTTCGCCTTGAATTGAATAATGTTTCATTTGTTTTGCGTTGAGCTTGCCAACGAAACGTCACAATTTGCGTCGCTTAATACAAAACATTTTTATCATGCAGAAATGAACAAGTTCTAAATGGAAAAATGGAAAATTAAATGGAAAAAGCTAGTGGGTTGTCATTTATTAGTTGCTCCAAAAAGCAGGCTACGATAATATTCATTAAATCTCATTCGGCAATGGGATGGTCCTTATGAGATGGTTACTTCTTCTAAGGGGTGATTTTTATTGTTCTTATTTTCTTCGAAATCTTCTTGTTTTTTATGATCTTAAATTTATCTTGCCTTGCCATTGGCCAGCTGAACCGTCCCAGAACCGGCTCTATCTGCGTGGCCGCTCTGATGATGTGACTCCTGTCTGCATCTCAGCATCTGAGTGCTTGGGTTCAGCTTAATTACTGGACCTGGCCAGAAATGATGTTGAAAGTACCAAAAACTGGTTGATCCGGGCAGTCTGCATGAATTTATTAAAAATCCAGATAGCCGGATTTTGTAACGAACTTCTTAAAGGAATGCTTAGATATACATCGTAGTTCACAGTAATAAATTTAAATGATTAAAATTATCGTTTGAAGAGTTAATTTGTTATGAAATACGTCCATTTTTGAGGTGCGATTCCACATGAATATATTATTATAAAATTGATAATTACAATTTATTGTGATTTGAAGGGCATTTTACAAGAATAAATCAATTTTATTAACGTTAATCTACAACATTTATCAAATCAACCATTAAGAGTTATGTATGTAAGGGTGGTAAAGACTGCTGTATAGTTTGCCTTCTTTGATTTCCAAATATTAAAGGTAATGCCTAGTAGTTAATCTTTATTTGAACTCTAGTCACTTCAATGTGTACTTGAAAATTAGTCGCTCTCTTTATGTAACCTGATTTTTTGACTTAATCCTGTTGATCCCATGAAAGCATTTAACTTTCCAGAACTTGGCCAAATGAGGGGTTGGACGGGCAATGTTCATTAGTGGCCGTGGTCTCATCGCCTATGCATTGAAATTGGCAGTCAGTTGTGAAAAAATCAATGCATGTCTGAGTAATCTATGCGCCTAATGGAATATCTAAGCTAATAAGGTGGAGCAGCACGTTGTCCACCAAGAGCCAGATGGAGTTAAATGGTGACTCCGTTCGAGGACAATTACCGAAGCAACTTATAGACAAACAATGGATGGCTTTTGCCCATTTGGTGAGCTAATGTTTGGCTGGTCGACTGGCTGGCTGGTTGGTTGGGATGGCTGCTTGGCATTTGGTTAGCAATTAGCCAACTGACCAAATAGCATGAATAAATAGACTCGCTGGCTAAGTAGTTGATCCAAAAGGAGCTACTGGTTTTGAGGCAGCAAGGCGGGTCAGCATCTGCGGCAGGACATTAGATGCAAACAAGTTTGGATTCGCCAAGGAAACTTTCTCACGCTCGATCCCAGCATCAGCATCGGCATCGGCATATGCATCAGTGGCAGGACATGGAACTTTTTATATCGGAATTCCCTTCTTCGTTTTGCTGAACTTTCACATCAAAATTTCAACGGATTCGTACCCAGAAGCAGGCCGGTTTTCCAAACTGGACAACAGCATCAACTGCCGCTGAACTTTGACACGCATCCCGGCCAAGATGAGCATCAACATCCACTTCAACCCTTTCCATCTCCATCTCCATCTCCAACCAGTTTGCCGCTGGTCACTCCTCAGCCTCCGCTGGTCATTTGGTTTGGGGTGGGTTTTCCGCTTACACCAGCTGATGTTTCCGTTGATGCTGATGTTTGGCGATGATTTGGCCCGCATTCGCTTCTTTTCCATGCTTTTTCGGCAGAGATAATGTCCAGTTTTGGTCACTTTTTTGTCTGTCCCCGAACTCCTTGCCATTTGCTTGTGATCTTGCAGTGATCTTGATCCTGATGCAGAGCCAAAGGACACCAATAAAAAGTCCACACATTTTGCCACCATGAGAGTTTTTATTTCTTATGGAAAAAGGATAAAGAGCTATGTTTAAGACCAAACCTGTTTTATTTTAAATGGCCTGTTTCTGGGTAGGATTTTGGGATATTCGTCTGGATTTAAAAAAAAAAAAAAATTTTTTAATATAAATTTTTTTTAAGAAAGATTTTCTATTTTTTTTTATTTTTAATTTTTTTTTTTTTTTTTTTTTTTTTTTTTTTTTTTTTTCCCCCCTTTTTTTTTACTTTGTTTGTTTAGAGGCGTAAATTACAAGTTATTTTGCGAGCTCGGCGATTTTTGCTATCGAAAAATATGATCAAAGGACCCCCCCCTTTTTTACCTTTCCAAAAAGGCTGATCATTAACGCAATTTATTAAATTAAGGTATTAAATATATAATTATGGTGCCTAGATTTATAAATACATCTTTTTAAACACTATCTTAAAATCAAGGTAAAACCAGATCTGAAATCCAAGAACTTTCCTTCAATTAACAAAAATCAATATTGATAATAATGGATTGTTTGGCAAACTATTAAATTGTTCCTGCCAATGCTAGAGATTTAAAAAAAGGAGAGGATACAAAGGCAACGATGGGTTATATAATTCTTTCGGTGAAATCCAAGGCAAACAAGAGTTGGGGATCTGTGGAGCTGCAGCTGGAAAAACTGATTCGTTGTCGGTTCCGACAGGCAGATAATGAGGCTTTAAACTGGAGGGGACGGGTGCGGCATTATTCGCCAAAGGGAAGGCGCAATTTTACGCACAAAAAAAGAGTTGACGATGGCATGATGTGGGTGGTGGATGGGTGGCAGGATGGTGGTGGGCCTTATGATGATGATGATGCCGCTGTTGCTGCCGCTGCTGTTGCTGCTGCGGGGGGTGTAAGCTTAACAACGCAACATAAATTAACGCATATTTCAGTTGCAATTTAAAAAGCGCACAAAGCGAACGGAACCTGCAGCGGACGACGGCGATGCTGGCTGCGCTGCTAGCGTTTCAATTATTTGTTGTACTTATTTTTTGTTGTTGTTATTGTTATCATTAACATTGGTGTTGTTGTCAAAAGTGCCAGGACAGCGCATTATTTCAGCTGGACGCCGCAGTTGCCGTTGCCGTTGCACGCACAAAAAACGAATAAAACCGACAACGCCCCAAATGCTGCAAAAAATGCTGGCCCCCCAAACCTCCTGTAAGGATGCATCGATGCGCCTAAAAGTATGCAATGCATTGGCCGCCCATCTGTCTGCCAACCCCCACGCCTTGCTCCACACTCACTCACACACTCGCACACATGCAGCCCACACGCACACTCATGAAAAAATATTCACATTGCACATTCGCGTTGCCTGTACATTATTTACCTCTTGTTCGTTTTTTCCCCGGAACAGCAGCGGCAGCGCGTTTTTTACAAGTTTTATTGCATGCGTGCGCGAATGAAAAATAAAATATATAAAAATATATAACGGTACCGCTCCAACACGAACGACCACGGCCACCATTGGCCTCAATGGCCACGGCGAACGAACGCTCAAAAAATGAACAAAAAGCAAGAGAGATGCCCAAATGCGAAAGCGCGTGCAAGCAAACGGGCCAGCAATGATGTCCTGGCTGCCCAGGATCAGGGTACATAGGTGCACTGATTGCCTCCATCGAATGGCCGAAAGCGGGGAATGGGCCGTGGAGGGCGGGGTACTGGATGATCTGGAGCTGGGGGAACTGCGGCAGCGACGGCAATGACGACGGCAGCGGTGACCATAAAAAACCCCAGGACAGACGCTGGGGCCAATGGTGCGTATGTGTGATGTCGGCAAATGTTGGGCGACAACAACAACAGCTACAACAGCAGGAGCAGCAGCGGGAGATGAAAAATAAATTAAAAATGGTTGGAGCCGCTGTTGCTGCATTTTCCACTCGCAATGTCGTTTCTTTTTTTCCATTTTTCTTCTTTTTTAAGCTCTGCGCAAATATATTGAAAATATTTCCCTTTTTTATGCCTATATTTATTATTTTATTTCGTTTTTTTGTTTCGCTTTTTTACTGTGTGTTCGCCTAAAAGCGCACAACATTTTTTAATTGGGTTAGTAATTGAAATTTATCGAGAGGCTTCCACGCACTGCGAACTCCGCCAGGGAGCCCAATCGAATATACAAAGCCAAATGAATTCTAACGCGTTTTGGTCAGCTCAAAAAATAATACAAATAGCTTTCTCTTATAATAACTAAAAGAAACGAAAAACAAAAAAATCTCCTGAATCCGAATCCACAGAAAAAATGGCCTTTGTTTTCAATAATGCATTTTTAGGTTTTGCTTCACGGGAAGATTTCTTTCGGTTGGTTATTTAAGAATAAATTTATGAGCACACAGATG